GGGGTCTCAGAGGTCAGCAGGGTTTTGTCACACCATCTTCAGAGCGGGGACGTAGGGAATGGGGAAGTGCTGACAGAACTGAGTCAGGGGAAGAGGCTGGCCCCGCGAGTGCTAGGGAAAAGTGGCACTAGATGGAGGCCCAGACAGGCCAGGCAGAAAGGCCAAGGAAACCAAGTGGGACAGAGGCTGGGAAGTCAGGAAAGGGCAACCCCACAGACCACCTGGTCACCCCACCTGTGGAATGCTGGTGAAAAGAAACGATCCAGGAGGAGTCCAGCTTCTCACCTGGGTGCAAGGCCCCTGGGATCCTGCTCAGGGAGCCCAGAAGGATAGGCGCAGCCCATGGACGCTTGGGACCCCGGGAAGTGAGCACAGCTTTAGGGCTGGTGGTTGAAGCCAAGCAGGTGCCCTGGTCCTGAGTCAGTGCCTGGGTGTAGGAGGCTGGAGCTGACAGCAACCAGACATCTAGGGGCCCCAGGGACTCAGTGATGCAGCTGACCTCCGGGAGGGGAGAGGGCATAGAGTCCATTTCAGAAGGACACCAGTCCTACCTCTGGGCCACCTTTCCAGTCCCCTGATACCCACTTTAAGGCCCTTGCCTCCCCATTGGAAGGCTGGCTGGAGGAGGGGTTGATAAAGAGGCAAGGAGTCCAGGGGCTCCCCTGATTGGCACTGCAGCAGCTGCCCCAGGGTCAGGGCCAGTGTTGAGAGATTATCTGGCAGGACGTCTAGCACCCCCTACATCTAATTAGGCTGCCCGAGCAGGGTCCCTGAACCATCCCTGATAACAAGCAGTAATTAGAGTGACAAAAGCAGCGTTTTACAGGGTAGATCAGGAGGGGTTTTCTTTGACTGGTGGAAAGCTGGCAGCGGGGAAACTAATCCCCTGAAGAAGGTTAATGGTATCCAGGCATTTAAATTAACCACATCAGCCGTGTCCCAGACAATTAAGAGTGGGAGGTCTCGTGCCTTCACATTGGTCCCAGGGGCTTTTCCGCAATCCCAGGGCTGTCAGTCTCTGACCGACAGAGACTTTCGCACCAGAGCAGTAAGGCTCACACTTTTTGGTCTCAGGGTCCCTTTACCGTCTTAAAGATGATCAAGGCCCACTAAACGTGTTGGTTATTAACAGCATAATTTAAAAAACTTCATTTGTCAGTTTCAAAGCAATGATGGCCTCATTTCAAGTTAACATAAAAAACAGGTGTATGGGTTTTTTTAAAAAAAAAAAGTGAAAAGAGCAGCACTATTTTATATTTTTGCAGTTCTCTGTAACACCCGATTTAGTAACAGCAGGATTCTCACTTCTGCCTGTACGTGTGGAAAACCCCACCCGACGCTTGTGAGAAAATCAGCAAAAGGGGCCAAGAACAGCGGCGGGTGTTATTACAAATGTGGTTTTCAGCTCATGGACCCCCTGAAGGATCTGTCCCCAGGCCACGCGGTGAGAATCCTGGTCAAGGAAAAGCCCAGCCCAGAGGCGTGTGGGGCCAGGGCTTCGGGGAGAAATCCTGTGGTTATGCACAAGGTTTTTAACTGGAGCATTTTCTCTGAGAGGCAAACATTGTAACCTGTAGCTATGGCAGCAGCAGGGCTTCTAAAGCCCAACACTTGGCAGCCTCAAAAACAAACAAACCCAAAAAGTAGTAAAAGGGAAGGAAGCGTTCATCACAAATGCAGCCTCCGGGTTTGTTAGGAGAGATCATAAACATAGAACAACGTGATGTTATGATCTTTTTAGGGTGTTTTTGGAAGACAATAATACAAGCATGACTGGGAAGGCGCAGCAGTCGCTTATCATAATTGGTTATCTTTGGGGAGACAGAGAAACTTCAGAAAATATTTAAACCTTCAAGCAACGAGTGACATATTGTGTAGAGCGGTTCACGTACAGCTGCACCTGGTCCTTAAACAAGAGGCCGCCAGCGGGGTGCCCGTCTCTGCGCGCGGCCCGGGGGCCAGGAC